TTGACAAAATTGGTTGTAACATCTAGTGAGTAACAAACTTCTGAGTAGGTTAATCGTCGCGAAGTGAGTACAAACGCGAAAATCGAGCGCCTACCCTGACTGCAGCGCATAAAAAGCGCATTCGTCCTTGGCTTGAAGTCGCTGCAAGGAATTGTTCGCATCGTCGTAAGCGGAACGCCCGCGAGCATGTCTGGCGCGCGGCTACCGAGTATCGGCGCTGCAAGCATGCGAATGCTATAGAATGTCCGCGCAGGACGCGGAATTGTAAACTACAGGTCGCTCCTCTTTTCTCATGCACTTTCGCCGGTTTTTCGGCTGCCGTCTCGCTCAACCCTGGACTATTTTCAATAGAGGAGACATCGTTGCCCGCATACACGCAGACGGTCTATAAGCATAGCTCGCATGCTATCTCGGCAGCCGCGCGCCAGACACCCTAGCGGGCGTGGCCCATAAATATGCGGGCGATTCCGGGCAGTCGACTGTACCATAGAGTAGGCGGAGTGTTGCTGTCGTTGATATCGTATACGCGTAGCAGAACAGTTTCTAAATGCGAGAGGGAGTACGAAAAGCAATTCTTTAGAATGAAGTTTAACAAATTTATCAAAGGATAAAGGATAAAGGATTCGGAATCTTCTATGCCCTTTGCGGGTATGCTCCGAACGCAGTCAACTTCGCACACATTGAGGCATGTGAACGCGTGCAGACCTGTTGCAATGACTTGCGGGGGCCAGCCGATTATCAAGTCACTGCTTTGCTTTTATCCTCCCAGATTTTTCTTACCAATTTACCGGCCCGGAGGGTAGAGAACTTGGTTGACTCAGGGACGGGCACCGAACCTTGGTCCGATCTGGTCATTGCGGCGCCTCATACCACTACGCCACTCCTCCCCAACAACAAATATATTAGTTGGTCATCTCTCACTATCGGCACATTGCTCGGTTGTGCTCGAATATTGGCATGATAAGCAGTTGTAGATTTCATAGTTTTCGAGCTACACCAAAATTGGTAACAATACTTTACTGGCTAACGTCGATGTTTGGCGTTCAACGCCTTCTTCGGAGCCTGGTGTGGGTCTACGTTGAACGTAGGATGTCCAGCATACAGTCAGCTATTGATCTGGGTGCGGATTGCTTCCTACTTATGATAATCATGTGTGAAAATGGAACCACTTGAGCCGGTTTGGTTGACAGGTAAGCGACTGGAATTGAACATGAACAAACAACGAACACGGCCATGGTTTAACATCGGCTAGCGACACACTTTTGCTGTATCGCCTGGCGCCTTTGATAGCAACCACTATCGCAAAATTGATGATGACTATCAAGGATTTCGCCTAGCACATACGTGGATAAAACAAAAACACATTTTTGACGAAAATTTTATGAAAAAATGAAATGGTTGCAACTTGAACTTAGTGAATTAAGTCAATAATTGCCTTGAGCAGTGCCTCGAAAAAAAGTCAGCAAACCCTACAAAGGGAGAAAAACATCCGTTTTCTTCCTTTCCACGCCAAAACCAGCTGTTCATCGATTCTCTCCTTTTCTCATCTCGGTACTTTGCAGTTTTGCGCCGATTTTGTCCGTAGTGTTAGGCAAACTGATGTGTATCGTAAGTTCTCTGCGTCTCGTCTCAGATAATCGCCGAAGGCTGGTGGTCCGCAAACTCGCGCTTTTCTGCAAGCGGTCGGCAAATTGGGGTGTGGCCAAACTGTCGTCGAGCGGTACTTCCGCGTTCTGCCAGCGGGCAGCAATACAAAACTTTCTGCAAGCGCTCGTCAATTAATCTCTCTGCCAGCGCTGGCAAACTTTCAGCAGACGCTCGGACTCTTTTTAAGCAGTTCCGGGCGTACGCCGGGCAAGGTGAGACTCTTTGTGGCAGAGGTGTCATCGATGGTTTGATTACCCGAGTTTGGGGTACTTTCTAATAGCAGAAGGTACCTAAGGGCTGCGCGGTCCTCCACAAAGGACCGCGCGGCCCTTGTAATTTTGCATATTCTCGCGAGAGGTCCGTGAGAATACGGCCTGCGCCGCGACTAATCTATAAAAAAGCCGCAATCATCGGTCCACGTTTCAACTGACCATGAACTGATGCAAGTAGATCAGTTAACTGCAGCAGGTGGACGGATGGCCAACTGTCAGTTTAGTTGGCAATCTTATAGCATGGGAGGGTGCTCAGATAATCGCCGAGGGCAGGGGCCATACAATTTGTGGGCGGGCACCGGGAAAATAGTTTGCTGATTTCTTCCTGTCCGCTTGCACATATTTGGAAGAATGTTGGCGAAAAGACAAATGCTCGGAAAACAATTGCGGTTTTTTATAGATTAGTCGCGCAGGCCGCATTCTCACGGACCTCTCGCGAAAATATGATTTTCGAGGGCCGCACGGTCCTCTGTGGACTTTCCGCTGAGAGAAAGTACCCCCAACTTGAGTAATTAAACCAACGGTGACACCTCTGCCACACAGAGTTTTACGTGTGCTCGACGTATGCCCGAAACTGCGTAAAAAGAGTCTGAGCGCCTGCTGAAGTTTCGGCCAGAGTTTGCTGAAAAAGATTATTTAACGACCGCTTGCAGAAAATTCTGTGTTGCTGCCCGCTGGCAGAACATTAGACAGTAAAGGAAGTATCGCTCGCTGAAGGTTTGGCCACGCCCCAAAATCCTGCTGGCCGCTTTCAGAAAAGCGCGAGTTTGCGGACCACCTGCCCCCGGCGATTATCTGAGTGAGTGGGAGGTCATCATTTCACCTAACGTAAGTTCAATTGATGGATTAAGTTCAGTTTATCTGAACTGATCGAGCTTTAATACGGTCCTTTTTGCTAACCTTAGACGTAGCACAAGCGGTAGTTAAAACAGACCACTTTGTGCCAAACTGTGCTGCAATCACTTTTATGCGCCAAATTGAGCTGACCCCATGCAAATCCACAGAGGGATTGATAAGGTCGAGTTCGATGGTGATCGCAATGCACTCGTCTTTTCTGTTCATTTTTAAATTTTTAACAGCTATCCAAAACGCTTCCAACGTTTTGCTTGCTAGGATTTCGGGCACAAACGACAAGATCTTCACTCCAATTTGAACTTCAGCGTTTTCGTGGCGTATCTGCGATGTTGCCCCAAAGGTGTGGAGGGCTTAGGCTTATTTAGCCCATCTAAATGTTCTTTGACGCGAACACAAACAGGGCAGGAGGTCTCTCTAATGTAGATGTCGCCACATGATCATGCGATCAGATAAATCACTCCTGACACTATACAGTCACCCTCTCTGCTATATGGGCATACTACACAGCCTGGAGTCAAACAGATATGATCATACGGTTGCGAACCAGTTGCCGCTTTAGGTCTGGCGGCAGTATATCGACCATTCTGATGGCCTCTTGCAAACCCGCGCGATGTACGCATCGCCGCACTGCCCTGCTAAATTCATCTGATACAAACGGCAGGCAGAAGGGAATCTGTCTGCTATGAAAGGTGGACAGGCCTTACCGCCCACAGAGCTGTGCCATCACGGTGCACCTCCGCAGTATCCGCTTGGTTGGACAATTTGGTGACCCAAAGACAACGACACAGAGCGTTCGTGGCCTCCAGATGAAACGCGAGCAGCTGTCTTGAACATGTTTGTAATTATGAATCTTTGATCTTGCGAAGGTGCGCAGACGAACATTGCATCAAAATATTTTTGCAGGTGGGTTTTCAATACCACTTAGTTTGAATCCCCACGCGATAGGTGAATTTGGACGTTGAGGAATGGAAGCCAATCTTGTAAGGTTTCTCCCTCGTAAACTTTGTGTTTGAAAATTGGTCGTTAAGGATGCTGAAGCATACGTCCATCTCAGTCTGTGTGGGACAAACAATGCATCAGTCAACTATAAAGCGTATGTAAGTGTGGTTGAAGGCAGTGTCCGGGCAAAAACTCGATTTTGAGATTTTGTGCTTACTTGGGCCTATTCGCTACGCTGAATCCGAAAATGCACATTGTAGAGCGCGAAAATGGCGAAAACGGCTCTAACACAGGAGGGAAATAAGCAGGTGGGCGGGGTCCTCCCCACTGCGAATTCACGTTCCCGGCTTCCGGAGCGACCTTTCGCTCCCGGTTTCAAGTCAATCATTCGCACTTGGCCGGTAGCGATGTTAGAACGGCTAGCGGAATCGAGAAAATCGCTCCGGGAGCTGGGAGCGTGAAATCGCACTGGGGGAAGCCCCGCCCACCTGCTGATTTCCTTCCCATATTAGAGCCCCTTTTCGCCGTTTTCGCGCTTTCCAATGTGGATTTTCGGATTCAGCAAGGCGAGTAGGCCCGTATAAGCACAAAATCTCAAAATCAAGTTTTTGCCCGGACACTGCCTTTGAGGCACGGTTCGGCATAAGGTGGTCTGTTCTTCAACTACCGCTTGTGCTACGTCTAAGGTTAGTAAAAAGTGTCTTTGGCTCTGATTCTGCTCTTTGGACTAATCTTCTTTTGTCTCGTCTTTGTTATTGACGTCTGACCGCATACTCACTTAAGACTTTGACATTTCAGGCTCCGACGAAGGCGTTGAACGCCGAAACGTCGACAGCCAATAAAGTATTGTTACCGGTCTTGGTGTAGCTCGAAAACTACGTTTGCAAATTGATTAGTTATTAGATGTCTGCAACGTTCCACTCACTCTAAGCAAGCGAACGATAGTAGAGGAATTTTACAGCTCACGCTCCGCTTTCGCATTAGACTAGCTTATACTCAGGGCTCGGCAAGAGGTGGCTTACCGAATATGCAAAAAAGAAACCCTCTCTGACTTGCGCAAAATTTCACGAAGTCCCCTTTGACCCAAAATCGGAAACGTCGACTAAAAAACCCAACTAAACTTGTGTTTTTCAGACCGCAAGACGATATCCCCTTCGCTATTTGTCCCAAAAACGAAATCCAGCTTGCTTATAAGCCACCAGTGCCGAGCCGTGCTAGTACTTTGTTATGACATCCATTTGTCACATCGCTTTCAATGCTCAAAATTAGCTATGATTGGAAACGTACCCAGTAGCGTTCTCCTGTAATGCTTTTGCAAGATCTCCTTGTGAATATCGCTCATTGTAAAGAAAGGGATAGTACTTGGTACTGCGTAGTTGGACGCACCATTCAGTGGGACCACTTGAGCTTGCTTTATGTTGGCAACCCTAAAAAAGTTTTATTGGAGCCACACAATTATAGCCGGCGTGAACCCCTGCTCCCTCATCCGTAGCAACACGCATCCGCGTTGCCCAGCGATTTCCATTCGATGTGGCAAATTTGAACGCTCAAACGGTACGCCCGCAAAGCGATACAGGGCTCTGGCGTTGCGTCTGAGCTGATCGGAAAGGGAGCACATTTTGACACAATCTCAACGTAACTTCCAATAATTCACTTCCTTTCTTTTACGTTCGCTAACGCAGAGGTAGCAGATCCTTATTTGCTGAGAAAGTCATCAGCATGCGAGCGCGGTAAATTGCACTATAGGCCACTTCTAAAAACAGTGTTTACCCAACCCTCTTTTTTTCACTGATAAGGCTTAAGCATGGTTTATGATCAAATCAGAAATGTGACGCGCTAATGACGATATCATCTGCTGAGTGTACATGTGGTCACATCTCAGCGTTGAAGCGGTTGGACTTACAAAGGAACCATGTTTAGTCGAAGTGGCCTTTTTGGATGAGATGTATACCATACTAAAGAGCATGAAATTTTGATTCCAAATCTGCTTCCTTATCTGGGAAACGTTCATGGACGAGGAGTTGTGAGTTTTTGACAGAGCAAAAAATTACATGTGCTAATAGGACAATAATTGAAATATTTTTCTAGCGCATTAAAATAGCAGTGATTATAATCAGAACAACTTATTCAATGAATACTCTCAGATAAGGGCTAAAAAGGCTTTAGCAACTCATTTTGCCTCAAATTCACATTCAAATTTTGCTCTAATAAACGCTCATAACTTCTCTCTATCAATGTTCCGCAAACAAGGAAAGCAGATTTTGAACCAGTGTTTATGCTTTTGATGGTATACATTCCAACCAAAAGGGCTACTTCGACTAAACATAGTTCAGTTGTTAGCTAGGCATACTTCCTGCGAGTCCGTCTTGCTACATCAAAGCGACTTGGCGAATTGCCATATGTCTACAGATTCGCCGTGCGCGGGCCTCAAATGCAGTACATAGCTTCTACGAGTTGTTGTGAAAGCATAAAGTTTGGCCCAAGTAAAACGCGCTTACGACCAGGCATGAAAAGTCGTTGCAGTGCTAGATGGCACAGTGACTAAAATCGCGTAAGGCCTAAGGCATACCTCACGCGATTTGGCCAAATCGCCACTTTCACGCGACTTGGCGATTTGCCAGATTTTTACGAATTTTTCATGCGCGCTTCTCGAAAGCATAGGCGGGTAGTTTGTGTAGGTTGTAGCAAATGGGTTGAGTTCTGACTAAAGGAAACACATCAAATACGAATTACAGAGAGTCGCTGTTGTGCCAAATCGCGCAGCGATAGGAATCGCGCGAGGTATGCCTTAGGCCTAAGGTATGCCTTAAGCCTTAGCGTTGTTTCATGCTGCACCGACTACACTGACGGTAGCAAACGCATCACAGTCAATACTCTGCTGTTGCACGTCTGCTTTCTTTTCAAAAATCAAGTATTAATACTTGTACGTAAGTTGAATAAATATTCTACAACAACTTCGAACACACTAGAGCAACACGCACGCGATTTTTGACTCCCAATGATCTCTATATAGTAAAGCGCGGGATGACTAATCCTTTCTAGGGAAACTGGAAAAGATTAGGTTTCGCTAATGGTTCACAGGTCGTTTGACATACTATTATGTTGTCCATGTGTTCTCTTCTTTGAACCTATGTTCGTTTCAATCGTTTTTTTAGGATTTTACGCCGAAACGATGATTGGGAAGCTTTATTGACTCAACGTTTAGTTCGTCTTAGTCAGGAGTTTGAAAAAAATCGTAGCATTCGTATTTTTCCACTACACTGCCATACGATTTATCAAATGTTGCCCGTCTATATCTTCCCTTAGTGCAATGTACTGGAAAGCAAAACGAGAGTGCCTTCAATCCAGCACAAGACCAGTAGCCCGCACAACCTTGACGGACACAACTGAGTTTATTAGCCAGTGTGTCAAGTTATATATTGTGTACGGATGTGAGCTTGCATAACGTTAGCAGGGGCAAGATATCATTCGTGGTAGCAACACATTCATTTTTATAAATCATAGCAGGGTCCTTGGAAAATATTTATGTGGCATTAAGCGTTTTTCAGGCGAAAAACTCATTTTTATGAGCTAATGTATTACACTTCACTCAAATAAGCAGCCTTCCTGTGCTTCAACCCTACATTTACTCAAAGGCTTCATACTAGGCAGATATTCTTCTATTGTAATGCTCACACATTCTGTCGTTTCGCCTATGTATAACGCTCCGCAATTTGGACATTCTAATTGATATATAACTCCCAATTTTGCACAGTCCCCTGCTTTCCTGTGAGAGCAAAAAACGCATTCTTTTGATAAGCACTGCATACGTAGCACGTGTTTCTGATCAACCGCTTTTTGATGTCATTGGGTATATCAACTAGTCTAACATCGTTTTGCAGCTGGGCTCGAAGGATGCACTGGCAAATTGTAAGCCCTGCTGATTTTATCGCAAATGAAAGATATGCATAACGGAAAATTAGTGTGAATACCTGCCTACTGCACTTTAATCTTCATTAGATCTTTCTATTTGTGACCATTTAGGTATGTCACCGGAGCCCGACATAGATCGAATGGAAGCAGGCTGCACTTCGCGTTCTGGGAAAAAAACAAAGGGATTTCTGCGTGGTACGGGGCGGAGCCGCGCAAAGATTGTATACATGATTCACTAGCGAAGCATATGGAGGTGCAAGACAAGTCAACATACTTCCCGTCCTGCCAAAAACTGCCACTCAGCCAAGCACAAGCTTTTAAGACAGGTTATTACACGATGGACATGCTCCATCGTGTAGTGTGTAATAATTACTGAGCCAATTTATGCACCCATTTCTCTAAACTCGAGTCACTTGTTCTCGCGTTTGCATACTCCTACAGCAATTTCATACACGTTACGTATGACGACATGTTGCTGTGGGGTGAGCTGACGCAGCGTGTACTAGCATATTCTATCTGGGTGTATGAATAAAAAAGGAAACCACCATGAGGAGCTTCTCATGTAGGTTCAATGTACCGCGATCGCTGGCTCAAGGTGTTGAAACACTCGTCCATTTCGGACTGTGTGGAAGTTATGACGCAGCAGTAATCGATGTACCGGCAGTACAGCTATGGTAGACCTGCATGTACTGCTTCCTCAATCTTGCTCATAGAGCACTTTGCGAAAACTGGAGCAAGTCTTTGACCCGTCGCAAGTCCTGTCACCTGAGAATAGTAATTCAAAGAACATTTTAGGATAGTGCGTTTCAAACACTCCCTAATGAGACAGTGAGCAGGCCTTGCTCAAACCAATGGTTATCATGTTGGGATAGTGCGCGTCCAGCGTCTCCGACATTGCCTGCTCAGCAGCATCAGAGCGAGCACCTTTGTAAATGTGTTACATCAGATTCTATGACCTCACATTTCCCTGTTTGGCTCACATTTTATTTGCCAAACCGCTCAACAAACTGAGTTGTATTTGAGAGATGAAAACTGGATTGTATTTGAGAGATGAGGCGAGGGAACCTTTGGAAGCAGTAAGCTTACAACTTTGCAAAAAACTGAAAAAACCATGAAATTCGATTGGTGAGACCGCCTACTCAGATAAGCCGAGGGCAGGCGGACCGCAAACTTTTTTTGTAGACAGTCAGCAGATTTTGAGGTGGAGAAACCTTCAGCGAGCGGTACTTCCTTTACCATCGCATGTTCGCCAGCGGGCAGCAAAACAGGATTTTTTACAACCGCTCGTCAAATCTCTTTCAGCGAGCGCTCTGACTCTTGTTACGCAATTTTGGACATATGCCAAGCATAGGTACTACTCGAAATGGCAGAGGTGTCATCATCTAGTTTAATTACCCGAGTTTAAAGTAATTTCTCTCAGCGGAAGGTACCTAAGGGCTGCGCGGTCCTTCACAAAGGACCGTGCGTGTTAGGCAAAAAAAATGTTAGGCATTTTTCCAAATATCTGCAAGCGGACAGCAAGAAGTCAGCGAACGATTTTTCCGGCGCCCGCTTGCCATGGCCACCTACCCCCAGCAATTCTCTGAGAGCAAGAATATAATGAGCGTAGAAAATAGTATTTTTTGTGCGCGGAGCGCAGTCATGGCAGAACCGCGTTCCGCAACGCCTAAATTGTTGCCGTTGGAAATGAAGACGAGTAGTTGTCAATAGATGGGAATAGAGAAATAGTTACCAAATAAAAACGAAATGAATAACCCGTTCGATCCCCTCACGTGCATAAGAGGTTCACTTTCCCTACTCCCAGGGGAATCCCTTGCCGATATTCTCTGCGTGCATTCGGGGATTCGCGTGGGGAGGGGGGGGGAGTCCCACCTGGGATCATTTCAATTCAATGGCGGTAGCAGGATTTTCGGGGGGGGGGGGGGAGGGGAGCAAAACTTTTTCAAACGAAGGTGCGCGGCGTTATCAAGCACTCCGAAGAATTTTTTGGGGTGCTCCTCAAAATTTATGCGGGTTCATAACTCGCAAAATTTAGAAGAAGGGGCCGTGACGGCAGCCGCACCCTCGAAAAAAATTTTTTACAAGGCCTATATGAATTTGAGATTTTTAATTATTTTAGTTGTTTACAAGAATAAGCAAGTCACTTACACATTCTTATAGCCCATGTAAGTAAATTTCAACATTTTTTTGGGGGGGGGGGGGGCTCGGTACGTTACTGTTTCAATTTCATGTCCTTAGACGCCTCTTAAGACGCTGTTAAAATCTGCCTTCCTTTTCTGCGAAACAGCTCTCCGAATGAACGAGCATTTGGAAGTACAACTTGCTATGTCTCATATGGTATAAAATCAGCGAAAAGCTGTTTAAATATACCGGAAAGTAGGAAATTACTCTATCGAGCACACTAACCACAAGAAAGGGAGAAGCCGGTGGAAATCTGCATAGGTGTTTTCGTACAAATTTTCGCTACTTTTATGGCACTTTAGGACTGACAAATTTGGACATTCAGACGCTCGTC